ATAGCCCACCATCGCAGACCCCGCAAAGCGATCATCCCCCTGAGAAGGTGAGCGAGAGGATCTGGCTGATTTTAAAAAGGCAGCTCACTCCAACTACAACTTTTGAACAGCGTGCACTGACCAGATTTAATCATCTCAGTTCCCGACAGCAGGGATCAAAATGTCAACTAAACCCTCACCCAGTGGATTAAATGTAGCCAATGACGACTTTGTATCATATACATACCATATGGATCTTCAATAACCATACAGGAAACAGACAAGAATGTGGGTCCCAGCATCAATGTAACCTTACAGAAGTTAGTCACACGGCTTAATGCATTACTGGAAGGTGCTCAGATACTGAGGCTGGTATAAGGACTTATACCACTTATCTGGCCACCATTACTATAGTATCCGAGCAACTCAAAATCTTTAAATGTATTTATCCTCATAACACCCCTGGGAGGTAGGGCAGTGCTATTATCCCGAGAGAATAAGTGACTTGACCAAGGTCAAACAGGAATAGGCAGCAGGCTTAAAACAAACAAAAGGAAATATTTCTTCACACAACGCAGTGTCAACCTGTGGAACTCCTGGCCAGAGGAGGTTGTGAAGGCCAAGACCGTAACAGCGTTCAAAAAGAACTAGATAAATTCATGGAGGATAGGTCCATCAATGGCTAATAGCCAGGATGGGCAGGAATGGTGTCCCTAACCTCTGTTTGCCAGAAGCTGGGAATGAGCAACAGGGGATGGATCACTTGATGATCACCTGTTCTGTTCATTCCCTCTGGGGCACCTGGCACTGGCCACTGTCGGAAGACAGGACACTGGGCTAAATGGACCTTTGGTCTGACCCAGTAGGGCCGTTCTTATGAAGCATGTGGCAGAACAGGGATTTGAACCTGGGTTTTCAAAGTCCCAGGCTAGTTCCCTAACAACTGGGCTATTCTTCCTATCAATAGAGTACAAACGTCTTGTTACTATGGGGAATAATATATGCAACACACACTCTGTCTCTCACACACTCATATTTCCACATCCTAAATGGGGGACACAATGTGTGATAAAGACCCCAAATTAGAGGGACATAACTATTATTTATGCAGGACATTGTGGGATTCCTTCCTGTAGTTTTCATCACTTAATCACGAAATTGCCATTGCAGAGAATTTCCAGTGGATATCATTTTCAACAAGAAAAGCAAGAGGACCCTCAATTTGTGTGAAACATAGGCCCTCTGTGACTGAAATGAATGAAGTCACTACATGCGAGGGGCATTTGAGGGGCCATATACACAGGGCTGCAAAGGCCCTTCCCCACCTCTATTTACATAAATCCAATAGAGACTGAAGCCATTTTGTTTACTTATCTCAAATGATATAGCCTCACAATTCCTCAAAGTGGATTTAGGGCAGAATTTGACCTGCAGATTCTATGGCTGGGATTTTTAGTCATCTTATGGAATTTTGTTGTCCAGTTTCCACTGAAATCCAACGGAAATTGGGCACTCTACTCCCTTTAGGTGCCTTGAGGTCTGCAGGTCTGGAAATGTATATATGTTACCTGAAACTTGCGCAAATTTATCCTTGGCACACAATAACCATAGATAGCCCAGGAAGCCATGTTTGCAGAGCAGAATCACCCTCTCATATGTTAACGGGCAGGCACAAAAGTGAAAGTGGGAATGAGAATCTTGGTTTCCAGACCCAAAGCTTGCAAGTGAAAAGAAATTGTGATCCTTAGCACTTTGCATTCAAGACCTGCCATCAATAGTTATTTCTTCAAACAACCCCACGCGCTTTTAAAGCCAGCTACAGCTTCCACTATTTGGACCTCTGAGCTACTATCAATACTTCATTAGATATTTTTAGCCACAGGACCTGTGTGCTTTGAAATCCGAGAGAGGAATTTAGATGGATATTCTCCACAGGCTAGCAAGCATCTCCCACAGCTAAATCTGATCGCACGTCAAAGAGTATTTAAAGTATCAGTAGAGGGGATGCAAGGATTTATGGGCAGACATTCCTTTGCAATTAAAACAAGTTTTAATTCCCAGCAATATGTGATCGGTGTAGGGGAGTGGGGGTCTGGGGCAGAGGTTGTATCCAATACTGGTGAATAGTGACAGATTTTTACAATCCTTGCAAGTGTGGGCTGGATAGTCAAAAGAGCCCGGAACCCAACAGTACCCATTTTAGCCACCTAAATGAAGGGACCAGAGTTTATCACCCCACAGCTCATCGTCTTAATGGGAGCTGAGCTCTTTTGAGAAACTGGCCATGCAGTTCTATTTATCCACCAGGACAGGCAGTGTAAGTTTCACCCCACCGCCACAGGCATGGACCTCAACCCAAACCCGAAGCAACCACTCTCCAGGGGCGAGAGGGGAGTTTTATCTCAGTACTCATTCAAACTTTGACATCTCTGCTGAGGGGGCAGGAGTTTTTCCTGGCCCTTGGTACACACGGGGTTAACTACAGCTCAGCTTCCGCCCCCCCTCCCCACACTCAGGTGCAAGACAGCCATCCACACGCATAGGAGTGAGATGGTCTTTATGCTGAGGAGTTTTTCTGATTATGTTAAACTATTTTCTTATTGTAAACTGTTGCCTTTAAGTCTCAAGAATAGAGGACAAGTTCATGGAGGACAGTCTATCAATAGCTATTAACCAAGATGGTCAAGGACGCAAGCACACACTCTGGGTGTCCCTAAACCACTAACTGACAGAAGCTGGGACTGGATGACAAGGGATGGATCACTCGATAATTGCCCTGTTCTGGTCGTTCCCTCTGAATTATCTGGCATTGGCCATCGTCAGAGGACAGGACACTGAGCTAGATGGACCATTGGCCTGACCCAGTATGGCCGTTCTTATGTTCTTGAGCAAGGAACGCCAATGGGACTAAGCATCTGTCTAAGTGTCTGCCTTAGATCATGACCAGCATACATCATTGCACTTGGCTCACACTGCCATGGAAAGTAAAATGAGCCAATGAAGATTTGAAACATTCTGTAGCCAAATGGATGGCGTAGGCATCAAAAACGCTACTGATTTTTACTATTTCTATTCTTGAAAGACCACAGCCTTTGGAAAGGCATTTTGGGCCATCCTCTGCCATCCTTACTTGTACCGAAAAGCACCTTATTCTTCACACAGTGCCAGTGAAGCCAACGGGACTACTCATGGATGAAGGTACTTCTTAATGGGAATAGAGGTTGCTGAAGCGGACCCTTTGCTGTAGTGGGAGGATACCAGAGTGTGATCCCCCCTCCAAGCTGAACTTTGAGACTCACAAGTGCGTCAAAGAATTTGAAATATCTAAACTTGCTTGCCAATATTGACACCGCTTTGTCGACTAGCACTTTACTCAGCTTGGATAATTGTAGCTATGGTCAGTATCTCTTTCTGGTTTTCGGGAACTCGCTCAACGCCGCTGTATTTAGGTCTGTAACGCAGGAAAGGGAGCTTGACACTCTCACCATGCACAATTCTCAATGCAAACCTCTCTCCTTCCTGCACCTCTTGTAATAAATTAAATTCCCTTCAAACTGCCAAATCCAGGTTGGATATAATGCAGCTAGAGTCAACAGTGTTACAACAAGGCTTAATTTGACCCAGAGGAACTCTAAATGAGAAGGTATTAGAATTACTCCATGGGAGTCTTGATTAGGTTTCATGGGTCCGTTTTTAATTACGTACATGTGTGCTGTGTTCATGAGGGACGGTGCAAGATGGCAAAGAGCAGTCAAAGGTGGTGATTAAAGTGTTTTCACCTAGCCCAGGCTACCTATTCATTACGTTTTGCAAGGAAAATCGATGTTAGCAATGCAGAAAGGAATGAGTCTTCTGAAGAAGGAACTTTAGATGGAGAAATCAATGCACCCTTCCAATTAGAGAGCTCTGTGACCTGAAGCATGTGGCTTGATGCATAATATCATGTGTAACCTGTAGATGCAGACAACTGTATTAAATATACAAAAGGCCAAGACTGAAATTTTCAGAGCTGCCCAGGAGATTTGAACACCCTGGAAAGGGATGGAAAATGGACCGCCAAGTCTCCCATGTGGCTTTGAAAATCTCACAGGTGCAAAAATATCACCCAGGACAAAGCTGTAAAAATCCTAAGTATTAGTCCCAGCTATCCCAATCTCTCAGACACAGAGGGTCATTTTTTCAAGGGACCTACTAAATTCTCTTCACAGCCTACTTCAAAGACAACCAGGCTGCTTCCAAACAATATGTAGCCCACATCTAGCATTTTGTACTCTCAAACACGCAGGCCGTCTTCACAGCCGTCATAAAAAGGGTAGGTGGCGATCCCGATTTTAAAGATGGAGAAACTTGCACAGACAGGTTAAATGACTTGTCCAAGAATTATTTCCTGTTCCCAAACTTCTGCTCAGCCCACTAACCCACACTGCTGCCCCCAGGAATGCTCGGATTACTGGAGGGCCCACTGTGCTAGGCACACTACAAACGTATAGTGAAGAGATCACCTCTACCATACAGAGTTTACAATCTGAACAGACAGCGGAGAGAGAAGTGACTTGCGGCGAGTCAGCGGCCGAGATGGGACTAGAATGCAGATTTTCTCAGTCTTACCCCAGAGCCCCATGCACTGGACCACGCCACCTCTCAGACACTGGGGTATGTGATCATTGTCATGAGACCATACAAGGAGCTAAACGTGAGGTCGTTTCACAGAATCATAGAATATCAGGGCTGGAAGGGACCTCAGGAGGTCATCTAGTCCAACACCCTGCTGAAAGCAGGCCCAATCTCCAATTTTTGCCCCATATGGCCCCCTCAAGGATTGACCTCACAACCCTGGGTTTAGCAGGCCAATTTGGGGGAGGAAGGGGCTGAATTCTGAATTTTCTAACTTTTGTAACATTCACATCTCTGCTTTCGCAGTGCAACAGTGGTGTACTTACATCCACCGGGGATGATTTTATAAGGAAATTAAGAAGAAAGGCAACCGGTTAGCTGAAGCCGTTTGCAAATGTATCACTTACCACATAAGGCGATGATGTGACTGCTGTCTTCATGCACAAATTTCCTGGTGACGGCTTCTTCCATTATCTGTTTTACCTGGAAGAAAAGACAAAGCACATTGATAGCATCCGATGAAGTGGGCCGTAGCCCACGAAAGCTTATGCTCTAATAAATTGGTTAGTCTCTAAAGGTGCCACAAGTATTCCTATTCTTTTTGTGGATACAGACTAACACGGCTTCTACTCTGAAACTTGTCATATTGATAGGGAGATTTTTACATGTCGGTTCCATCAGCTCTGTGCAAGGAGAGTCCAAGGCAGATAGTTTTCCCTTTTATTCCCCTCCACATTCAGACCTTTACGTTTACTTGAATTGTTTGTGCTTTCGTTCCTCCAGACATTACTCCAGGATTCATTCCTATGCCCCAGTACAACTGAAATGCCCTTAAATGCATCACCCCAGCTGCAAATCAGCAGCAAGCTGCAGGGTAGGAGACAGGACAGACTAAAAAGCCAGGTGTAGTCCTGCAGAGGTGTTGTGGATGTAACCAACTCAGACTATAGAACATAGTTCCTCGGTGGCATCGCTGCACCATGGAGCTAAACACTATCTCCAGCCCTGAATGACAGGAACATAGGCCAATGAGCGGCTTCTTACTACACCGACGTGCGAGAAGACGACAACGGTTAGCAGCGTATTTGTATTAGATACAATGGTGGCGGCTTCCTTGGCCGGCTGGCAGTCAGAAGACCGCAGCCATTGCAACCGTTAACAATGGCCGGGACACAAAGGCCACACTGATCTCTTGTGCTGACGGGGTGAGACTGCTCCTGAGCAGAATACAGAAGGAGGATGGCCCAGTGGTTAGGACTAGCCGTGGAGCTGGGAACCCAGGTCAAGCTCCCTGCTTGGCCACCGCTTGACAACTCGCCGAGGGGCCGTGTCTCCACTGTACTCAGAAGCGTGACCGTGCCATACCCGAGCCAGCTTCGATCCAGCTAGCTCCAACGCCACAGCAGCACGGGCTCGCTGCTCGCTTGAGTCCATACCAGGGTCCCGGACAGGGCTGCCCCAGCTTCATTGTTACTGGAACGAGCTGGATCAAATCCAGCGTGGGCGCGTCTGCCCGTGCTCTGGTCACACCTCCGGCTGCGGTACGGACCAGCCCTTCGCCTCAGATTCAGAGTCACATCCGCTCATGTGAGTGACAGGAGCGAAGGTTAGCTGCTACAGGAGCGAAACACAGCCAACGCAGCTCAGCGAGCGAGCTGGATTCCACTCCCTCTTGTGGGCGCTATGCTCCGGGCACTGACACCTGTGCAAACCCCCGAAAGCAGGCATTGCCGAGAGCGCCGTCTGCAGGCAACGAGGTTGCAGAGGTGCAATTGAGAGCAGTGTTTGGCCTCTGGAGCTTTTATTACGTCAGACGAGGAATGAGAAGGAAAGGACCCAGCTTGACTCTCAGATCCCAGGCTGAGTTTGCAGGGCTGCTAAGTTAGAAGAGACGTTATTTATTTTTAAATAATCACATTCCGTAGGGAAGCCACCGAGAGACAAACACGGGACTCATGATTCTGTTTGTACTAATCCTCGCTGAAGAGAAGAAATACACTTTAAAGTGTCCAGTGGGACCATCGGCAGGTAAAGACCTTAGTGCAAGTTTCAGTGTACTGCACAAAGCCTTTGCAATGACACATGCATTTGCCTTCCTGTGCATAGCTACTTCAGTCCATTAAATAAGATCATTTTATCCCCTGTCTTTCTCCACTGGGTGCATTCTGCTGTTTTTCAAACCCACAGACTCTCTCAGTGCTATAATGAGACAAGCGTCCTCAGAGAGGTTTCCAGTGACCTTTCAAGCGAATTAGGCAGAGAGATTTCAGAGTAGAAGCCGTGTTCTTTTTAGGCAGAGAGAAAAGCCCAAGATCAGGCTGATTGCAAATGGCTTACGGTGAGGGTGCAAGGTAGTGACATTTCGTAGCAACCGCTCAGACAAATGCTTCCCGACATCGGATCTCTTTGCAGGCGGGTTGAATCGACAGAAGCAAGTCTATTTTCAAGGGGGGCATGCAGGGTTTTCACTGTGCAGCTCCCACAGATTCAGAAAACAAAAACAAAAACCCAGATGCTCCACAGCAGACACCCACACATGCTGCTTTGAAATTCTTTCCCCTGAGATCTGCTAGAAACAGACTTGGGAGAAGATTTCATTCTAAATGCAGGGAGTTTGAAATAAAGTGATAAAGCAGGGTAACATTTGTTCATTGCTACATTCATACATACGATTTTATGTTTATACATGCAAGGGAGGCGGCAAGGCCTAGTGGATAGAGCACTAGACTGCGACTAAGGAGACCTGGGTTCTATTCCCATTGGCCTGCTGGGTGAGCTTGGGAAAGTCCCTCCTTGTGCCTCGGTTTCCCCCTCTGTAGAGAAGTCCCTCCTTTGAGGTCTGTGCATGAAAAGCCCTATATGAGAGCTAAGGTCAGACCAGACGATCATAATGGTCCCTTCTGACCTTAATGTCTATGAGTCTAAGTATTACTATATACTGACAAAGGTAAACATTTGGCATGGAAAACTTGTTCACGGAAAGTTTTGGTGTATTCTTATTACTGGCACTGAGACCAGGGCCCCATTGGGCTAGGTGCTGTAGAAACACTGAGTAGCTGACAGTCCCTGCCCCAAAGACCTTCCAGTCTAAGCAGAGATGATGAATAGTGGAAGAAAGTAGCATCTCCATTTTAGAGAAGAGAAACTGAGGCTCCATGTGATTCAGTGATTGGCTCGAGCCCATGCAAGGAGTCTGCCACAGAATTCAACCCAGATCTCCCGAGTCCCAGTCTAATGCATTAACCACAGCACCATCCTCTCTCAGTGTAAACAGCCATGTGGGAGAGTTAAATGGGCAAGACTGCCTCCCCTCAGCGCCGTTAATATTATACCCTGGTCTCCTTTTATTTGTCTATTTCTACTACTTTACACATACTTATGCTTTTATCCCCATGTGCACAATTCCTCCCCTTAAAAGCTAGGCAGCAATCCATAATTTCCTCCTAAGTAGATCTCACTTCACTCCTAGGATGTGCAATCACCTTCCACGTAGTCAAAGAGTCATAAAACCACTTATCTGCCATTATTTGCTCAGCGGTGGAAAAGGATGAAATGGTTTAATGATAGGCCTTCACATCTGCTGGAACATATGTTAGCTCGCTTAAATGCCAGTCATAAAAGAGGAGGAGGAGTTCAGGTCTGGAAAACCCGATGTCACCAGGGATCGAAAGCTTGGATTTTTAGACCCAAGGAAAAGGTGCTGTTCTGCTCAGCATACTGGCAGCCAACTCACGCTCCTCTTTGCTTTCGGAGTCCTCAAAATTCGGCTCTTGCTACTTGTGTGATCCTGTCCCCTCCATTTCTCACCATATCTCTAAGTCATACACAATCCCATAGGTGCCTATGTATTCCTGGAACTCCAGGTCAGCCAAGCCTCCCCCCTTTCCCAGAATGGGGCAAGGACTGTCTCTTTGTTATGAATTTGTACAGCGTTTAGCACAAGGGGGTCTTGTGGTCCATGACTGGGGCTCCTAAATGCTACCACAATACCATCAACAAACAACAGGCTATGGGAAGCCTGTATAGAGAGCGTGGAGGCGTTGTGGGTTCTATAGCAGACGTTTCTTTCCAGCGCTGCAAAACTTTCCAGCAAATAAGCTACACAGAGAACACAACATGCTCCGGTCCTCCCCTCTGTGAGTGAGGAATAATCTGTCAAGCATGGCAGGAGAGGGGCAGCCATTAATACAGCTCAAGGTCAGCACCTCGGCTTTGGAGGGAAAAAGATCGCTCCTGGGTCAAGCAAAAAATTAAACTCAGCTTTGGTGTGGGTCTTGTTCTTGGCGGAATGTTCGATGAATTTTACAACTGATTAAATTGACCTGCCTGGAGGAGCCAGCTTCCACCAGGAAAGAAACATTTTGCCTGCACTGGGGTAGGGGTACGTGATCAATATTTTTTTTTGGGGGGGGTGGGTGGGTGGGGGGTTTGCGGGAAAGGTTTGAAAGGAGGATGAGAAATGCAGGTCAGCTAGGAATTGGGAGGTTCCTGAGGGCCAGGCTTATAAGACGCAGAGGTGATGTAGCATATAACGGAGAAGATTAGAGTCTACAGATTTATCATAATTGTTAGTTGTAGTGCCAAGGAGTCCCAGCCATGGACCCATACCCCATCACGCTAGGCACACGACAACTACAGACCAAAAAAAGACGGCCCCAGCCCCAGAGGACGGACAAGCTCAGTAGCACTTTCCTTAATCCAACAAGCATTTTGGAGGGTGTGATCTCTTTGGAGCAAGGACATTTTTCTGGCTTTATAGTGCCAACCATGTGCTCAGCACGAAGACAAAAATAATCTCAAAGCCAATAGGATCAGAGCTGGTTAACTCGGAATGAATATCTATCCAGACAGGTGGACGAAGTAGATCTCGCTGTCATTTGCAAGCAATTTAGGCCCACAACCTCAAATGCATTGAGGTTCCTAACTTCCATGGATTCTTTAAACTTTGGGAGGCTAGGCATTTTCTCTCTCTTCAAAATGATGCATGCCTGTGTCATTCTCTCTCTCTCTGCCCCTTATCATTATCGCATCAGAGTGCCTCAAAATCTTTAAATGTATTTAACCTCACAACATCCCTGTGAGGCAAGAAGTGCTATTCTCCTCATTGTACCGGGGAGGGGGAGGTGAATCAGAGAGAGGCTTAGTGACTTGACCAAGGTCACACACACAGTCTGTAGCAGAGCAGAAATTTGAACCCCGGTCTCTTGAGTCCCAGGCTGGTGCCTTACAATGGACATGCCATTCAATAGGCAGGAGATGCCTGTAGCCAAACAGTTCTGGGATCCAAAATAAAGGGCACAGATGGTGACAGCGAACGAGAAGGAGAAAGTTCAAAGATTCTAACAGTGCTCATTGAAGGGATACGCTTCTATGAAGTAGTGGCCTGGTTTAGCAAAGAAAGGGGTGAGCCAAGGTCACAGAGGCAGTCTGGGTAAATCCCTGAACACCTCTCCCTCAGCATCCCTCCCCGTACCAAGGGGATA